ACTGGAGTTTAAGGAGTCAGAGATATAAAAAAAAAACGGTAAAAGGCGTCCGCCAGGAAATACAGCCAGGCAGACGAGCTCTGAGTCAACTCCAATGTCAGAGGATGAAAAGAGCACATCCAGCCAGTCACAGTCAGAGAAACAGGACTACACTGGAAAAACAGGCTGATCTCCAACATCTATAAACAAAGGTGTTGATGGCAGCAGCACAGCTGATATTTCTCTCCAGGATGGGGTCACAGCCAAACAGGAACAGATGGGGCAATGCTACTATTCTGCTCTCCTTGTGTGTGTCTAACACAATTCAGCAGTAAGCCTAACTCCAGTTGAATGAATATGTGAGTCAGGATGTAGCTTCCTTAGCTCCGCTTTATTTCTCTGAATCACGTACACGTTATAACATGGAGTAAAACTGTAAAACAGAAATAAAATACCTACTTTTAGTTTACTATCATTAGAAAACATTGTACAGTACTTAGAATTCTGTTAACTTTAAAGTAAACTAACATAAACCCATAGGCATCATGCAGCAGTCAAACTTCACATTTACTGTAAACATTCTCCACAAATAAGACTGTTAACAAATTCTACTATTGAATATTAAATCAAAACTTACAGACGGTGATGTCGATGGCATAAACAGAAGGCAGATTGCAGTAGATGACATTTCTAACATGTGACTGACTGAAAACTAAACAAGATTGCTCACTTCCTGTTTGCTGCCCAAGCTCACCTTCAAAATAAGAGGCTTAACAGTTTGAGAGTAAATTAACAACAAATCCCTGTCTTACAAGAAATTAAAGGGCAGAACACTCCCCGCCTGGCATTTGTTAAGATGCCACATATCAATACTTCAGGCAAAACTTTTAAACCTATCAGTCCTTATTTTTATTTTTTTAGAAGCATAACAACTTCTGTAACAGGCCTAAGAAACTTTTTGGCAGTCCCATCCTTGACAACTTTGACCTCAATCCTGCGTATCTTTCCATCACTGCCTGGGAAGGTGTCTGTGATGAGAGCCATGGGCCAATCGTTGCGGGATGTCCGATCATCCTTCAGCAAAACTACATCACCCTTTTCGATGTTAGGACTTGACTCTTGCCATTTGTGGCGAAGTTGTAGTGTGTGCAGGTATTCGCGCTTCCAACGAGTCCAGAATTCATCAGCCAATCTTTGAACTTGGCGCCACTGTTGCTTATACAGGTCTTTCTCTGTGAATATCCCTGGAGGAGATAAAACACTCTGCTTTTGAGTGAGAAGCATTGTTGGGGTAAGTATCTGTGGAACATCTGGATCTGAGGAAACTGAAACTAGAGGTCTTGAGTTGATGATGGCTGTTACTTCTGCCATCAGGGTGCACAAGACTTCATGAGACAAGCTTGAGGCAGGAGTACGCATCAGCATTGAGTCTAAGATTCTCTTTGCGATTCCAACCATCCGTTCCCACACACCACCCATGTGAGAAGAGTGAGGTGGGTTGAAATACCACGTGCATCCTTGATTGTTTGTGTACCTCTGAACTTCTGATGCTTTCACCACTTTATGGAACTCCAGCTCTCTGCAAGCACCAATAAAATTTGTCCCACAGTCTGAGTGTGGAAGGACCACGTATTGCAAAGAATCTTCTTAAGGCGTTGATGAAAGAAGAGGTGTCTAAAGACTCAATGACTTCTATGTGGACTGCACGTGTGCTCATGCAAGTAAAGAGTACAGCCCAGCGCTTACTCTGAGCCAAACCTCCTCTTGTGCGCCTCGCTGTGACAATCCAAGGACCGAAAACATCCAGACCTGTGTAGGTAAAAGGTGGGGAAGTGCTCAGTCTTTCTTGAGGGAGATCGGACATCTTTTGCTTCTCTCTTTTTCCTCTGTGCTTTCGGCAGATGACACATGCATGAAGAACAGCACTTATGCAGCGCTTGCCACCAACAAGCCATATTCCAGCTGCTCGAATTGCACCTTCAGTGAATGTCCGACCTTGATGCTCAACCTGCTCATGATAGTGTCTGATAAGCAATGTGGACACATGGTGTTTTCCTAAAAGAATAAGTGGATGCTTTTCTCTGTCGCTTAAATCAGCAAGTGTAAGCCTGCCTCCAATCCTTAGCAGGCCTTCGGAATCCACGGTCGGATTTAGCTTAGACAGTGGGCTTCTTTTGGAGATATCATTTCCCTTCAAGAGAACATCCAACTCTTCAGAGAAGGAGTCTCGTTGTACAGCCAAAATAATTGCTGTTGTGGCTTTCGACAACTCTTCAGTGTCAAAAGGTTTTGGACACCAGTGCCAACCATTGCATGCTGTGGTCTTTGTGTCCTTCTTAAAGGAGGGAGCTGCATGAATGAGTGTTGCAATTGCTCTTTGTAAGGACTTCCATGAAGAAAATTTTGCAAACCTCTCAGGGTTTAGTTGGTTGACCTTTTGACTTGTGACACAGCTTGTTACTTGTTGTCGGATTTCTACATCAGAATCTGGATTGATGAGCTCAAATGTCTCCTGCCGCTCACTGGTTGTCTCCGATTTGCATAAGAATGCTGGACCTGTGAACCAACTAGTTGCAGTGAGCTTTGGAGCTTGGACTGACCTAGAAGCATGGTCAGCTGGGTTATGCTCTGTAGGCACATACTTCCATTGGTTTGGTTCTGTAGACTGCCGGATTCGCTGAACCCTGTTGTGGACATACACATAAAAGCGTTTTGACTGATTATGAATATAGCCCAGCACCACTTTACTGTCACAGTAGAACGTGACAGCATCAACTTGAATGTTGATCTCTTGAACAATGAGTTCAGCCATTTCTACGGCTAGCACTGCTGCACAGAGTTCTAATCTGGGTATGGTTAGTTCAGTTGGTGGTGCAAGTCTAGCTTTTCCAAAGACGAACCCCACATGTATCTGGCCATTTTCATCTGTAGTCTTCAGGTATACTACTGCACCAATGGCTTTGGTTGAGGCGTCTGAGAAAACACATAACACCTTTCGTCTGGCATTGGAGCATGAAGTAATGGTATAAGCTCGAGGGATGTAAAGATGTTGCAATTCCTGTAGCGAATCTCTCCACGCCTCCCAAACCTCAGATTTGTCTTGAGGGAGTGGGCTGTCCCAGTCAGTTCTGTCCAGCGTGAGCTCCCTTAGCAACAATTTGCCCTGAATGGTCACAGGAGCAACAAAGCCAAGAGGATCAAAGAGACTATTTATTGTTGAAAGGACACCACGTCTTGTAAATGGCTTGTAATTGATGGAGACTTGGAAGGTGAACATATCTTTTTTGATGTCCCAACTCAATCCGAGGCTTCGCTGTGTGGGTACTGCATCTCCATCCAAGTAAAGCTCTTTAATGTCCTTAGCATGATCTCCGGCTGGAAAAGCTCTTAAGACTTCAACACTGTTGGATGTGATCTTGTGAAGTCTCAAGTTTGACTCTGAAAGAGATGCTTGGGTTTTCTGTACCAAAGAAATGGCCTCTTTTTCTGTAGGTGTGGAAACAAGACCATCATCTACATAGAACTCCTGTTCTACGAAGTGCCTTGTGTCTGACCCATACTGCTGTTCTCCTTTCATTGCTGCTCTTCTGAGACAGTACGTTGCCACAGCTGGAGAAGGGCGGTTGCCAAATACATGAACCCTCATTCTGTACTCGATGATGTCCTTGCTGGGGTTATTATCTCGGTACCAGAGGAAACGTAAGTAGTCTCGATGATCTTCTCTTACAACAAAACAATGAAACATCTGTTCGATGTCGGCCATGACTGCCACTTGCTCTCTTCTGAAACGAATCAGAACTCCCAAAAGACTATTATTCAAGTCTGATCCGCTGAGTAGCACATTGTTTAGGGAGATACCATTGTACTGAGCACTTGAATCAAAGACAACCCTGATTTTGTCAGGTTTTCTCGGATGATAGACCCCAAACATCGGCAAGTACCAACATTCTTTGCCTTTAGGTAATAGGGATGCTGGCTCCGCATGATTGTTGTCAAATATCTTTTGCATAAAGGCAATAAACTGGCTTTTCATTTTTGGCTTGCGCTCTAATGTGCGCCGTAGAGAAGAAAGGCGGTTCATTGCTTGCTCACGATTGTTGGGCAAAGGCGGCCTGGGGGACTTGAATGGAAGTGGAGCCACCCAACTGTTATACTGATCCTGGAAAACCTCATTGTCCATTATTTGCAGAAACTGTTTGTCTTCCATGGATAAGGCGGGTTTATTATCATCTGCTGTTCTCTTAAAGACTGTAAGGCCAAGTGAGTCGTTGTCCACCACAGCGGAATGGTAACAATGAGATAGTTCCTTGATTGTGCTAAAGTTGACTGTTTGCTTGAGATGGACATGGTTTTCACAGGGTCTAAACAATGAGGGTCTTCCATCTTCTAGTATGTTTGTCTTATAGTTGTGAACAATGGGCTTATGGACCTTTCCCAAGCACACGTCACCCACTAACACCCAGCCAAGGTCAAGCTTTTGTGCAAAAGTAGCATCACCGGGACTATTAATCTGCTGTCTCACCTTGTGAACCCGAAGAATGTCTCTGCCCAGCAGGAGAAGAATCTGTGCATCATTGTCTAGTGGTGGAATTTCACTGACGAGGCTCCTTAGGTGTGGATGATGAAAGGCAGCCTCTGGTGTTGGTATTTCATCACGATTGTCTGGTAAATCGTCGCACTCGATCAGTGTTGGGAGTGGAAAGCTGATTCCATCATTTACTGCCTCAATTTGGAAGCCATTTGCTCTCCTGCCAGAGGTCGATGCTAAGCCAGCACAAGTCTTCAGGGTGTAGGGATATGAGCCTGCTTCAATTTTAAATAAGTTGAAAAACTCTGTCCTAGCCAGAGATTTGTTGCTCTGGTCATCGATCATAGCGTACATTTTGATAGCTAGTTGTGGTTGCCCTTTTGGGTAGACCTTGACAAGACATATCTTTGAACAGGATGTTGTCTTAAGGCGGTCGCCACAAACTTTGGTGCACAGAGGACTTACAACTGATCCTGGTTTACTTTCCTCCTTTTCATACTCCCCCGCCGTCATCGGCCACAGGACTTGAACTTTTGGTGGACCATTGCGGTGGACCAGGGTGGAGGGCTGTGATGTGCTTCTCACTGTCACATTCATCACATCTCAGTATAACTTTGCAGTCACGGGCGAGATGAGTGGTGGATGAGCAGCATTTAAAACAGATTCCTTGATCCTTCAAGTAAGCCTTGCGTTCGTCTATGGTTTTTAGCCTAAAACCACGGCACTTCTTTAAGGGGTGAGGTTTGTTATGGATGGGGCAAAGCTTGGCCACTTCATCTTTTAGCAGTGCTTCATTTTGTTTAACTCCAGAGGAGACTCTGGTCTTGTGCACTGAGACTGGTGTTCTGATTTTTATGTGACGTGAGTTTGGATTTTCTATTGTGGAGCTGTTTCCGAAAAAGGCAAAGCTGGGATCGTTTCTTGTTTTGGCTTGGTAGCAGATGAAGGATGTGAAAAAGGAAAAGGGGGGGTAACCAACCTTATGATCCTCTTTATACTTTGATCCTTGAGTGATCCATTTTTCTTGCAGGTTGTATGGCAACTTTTCCAGGATCGGTTTGATGCCACGAGCAGTGTCCAAGTATGCCAAGCCGGGTAAATAGCCATCCTCCTTTGCTGAGAGTAGCTCCATTAATAGATCCCCAAGCTCTCTTAACTTGCGGTTATCTTTGTTTGTGATTTTAGGAAAGCTGTCCAACTTCTTGAAGAGAGCACTTTCTATGACTTCTGGAGCACCGTAATATTCATCCAGCCTGTCCCAGGTCATTTTTAGTGCAATGATTGGGTTGTCAATATGTACTGCTCTTAGGCGTTTGACATATTCAGAAGACTCCTTACCAAGCCACTTTGAGATTAAGTCTAACTGTTCACTGGCAGTGAGATCCAAATCCTTTATGGTGTTAAAGAAGGCAGATTTCCATGCTCTGTATGACTCTGGGCAATCATCAAAGTGTGATAAACCAGTGCTCACAAGCTCTTTGCGTGCCAAATACTTTGCCATGTTCATCATTACTGAAGACTCAGGTTGGTTTGTGTGAGAGGTGTCAGAATACTGTGGAAAGGTTAACTTGGTATTTGGATGAAGTGCATTACAGTTTGATTCTTGTAGCGGTACCTCATTTTGAGCTTGAAAGTAGTCCTCTCTAGCTAGCTGAGCTTGTGTGGTTGAGATGTGAGTGGTCCGATATGTGGTAGGTGCCTCTGAACTTGGTTGGGGCTGGAATGATAAGGGCCAGCAGTCTTTCACAACATAATCATCTTCATTAATGTACTTGGTAGGTGGTTGCGAAGTACTGTCAATGGGATACTCTGATATCTGGGATGAATTGACAGATTTAGGGCAGTGGTTAAGCTGCCTAGTTTGGTTTTTGATGTAATCACTTACACGCTCATGTGATTTCTGCACCATATCCGGGAGGCTTTTCCAACTATTTTGATCTTCTGCCTCTACTTCTGCTGCTGCTTCCAAAACTTCAGCTTGAGCGATAGCAGCTGCAGCTTCTTTTTCAAGATTCAGTGCTTCAAGACTGGCTTCTAGTCTTGCTTTGTCAACTTTAATGCTGATCTCTCTCTGGGCGAACAAAACACGTGCACGAGCTGCTTCTGCTTTGGCCCTAGCGCGTGCTGCTGCAGCACTGACTGATGATGCACTTGAGCGTTTTGAACTTGAACCAGTACTTTTACTGCTTTTAACTGATGCTCCATCTACAGGAGGCTTCACGTCTTTCAGTCTTGCACCTGCAGTGTGTGCTTCATCCATATCTGTTAATGTAGCCGCTTTAATCCTGTTCAGCCAGCTGCAATCGTCTTTTTACTATTCTGCTCTCCTTGTGTGTGTCTAACACAATTCAGCAGTAAGCCTAACTCCAGTTGAATGAATATGTGAGTCAGGATGTAGCTTCCTTAGCTCCGCTTTATTTCTCTGAATCACGTACACGTTATAACATGGAGTAAAACTGTAAAACAGAAATAAAATACCTACTTTTAGTTTACTATCATTAGAAAACATTGTACAGTACTTAGAATTCTGTTAACTTTAAAGTAAACTAACATAAACCCATAGGCATCATGCAGCAGTCAAACTTCACATTTACTGTAAACATTCTCCACAAATAAGACTGTTAACAAATTCTACTATTGAATATTAAATCAAAACTTACAGACGGTGATGTCGATGGCATAAACAGAAGGCAGATTGCAGTAGATGACTTTTCTAACATGTGACTGACTGAAAACTAAACAAGATTGCTCACTTCCTGTTTGCTGCCCAAGCTCACCTTCAAAATAAGAGGCTTAACAGTTTGAGAGTAAATTAACAACAAATCCCTGTCTTACAAGAAATTAAAGGGCAGAACAGCTACTATGAGAAAAAGCAGAGAGAGCAGAACGTTAGAGATTGAACTGAAAGAATCTGCAGAGTGGAAGAATAGAGATAGAATGAAGCAAAATTATGAAATAGGGGTCCCTATGTCCTCCAGAAGTCTAAGCGTATAGCTGCATAACTATAGAGATAGCTTAGGATAACCTGAGCCACTCTAACTATAAGCTTTATCAAGTTTTAAGCCTAGTCTTAAAAGTAGACAGGGTGTCTGCCTCACAGACTAAAACTGGTAGTTGGTTCCACAGGAGAGGAGCCTGATAACTAAAAGATCTGCCTCCCGTTCTATTTTTAGAAATTCTAGGAACCACTAGTAAACCTGCAGACTGAGAGCGAAGTGCTCTGTCAGAAACATAAGGAGCAATCATATGGAGTTTGGCAATTTAAGGCTTTATATGTGAGAAGGAGGATTTTAAATTCTATTTTTGATTTAACAACTACAGTTTTCGGACTTTCTGATAGTAAAGAATTACAATAGTCCAGCCTTGAAGTAACAAATGCATGGACTAGTTTCTCAGCATCACCCCTGGACAGGATATTTCAAATTTCTTGCAATATTCCACAGATGAAAGAAGAAAATTCTAGAAACCTCTTTGATATGGGATTTAAATGACAGGTCCTGATCAAAAATAACACCAATTAGCTTAATCCCATCCAAATGAAGTGGCTGTCTAATCAGCTTATTTTTCAAGGACTATAACTTCTGTTTTGTCTGCTGTCAGAAGCAGAAAGTTAAGTGTCATCCAGGTTTTTATCTTTAAGACATGCCTGTAATCTATGTAATGGGTTAGCTTCATCTGGATTTATGGATAGATATAGCTGATAAAAGTTTTAATCTTTTTCTTTGTCACTAAAATTATTTTTTAAAGAACTTTTGCTGGCAAATGAAATTGTTCGCGTTGACAAACACTGTAGAATCATCTTTAACAAAAAAAAAAATGTTTGCATCTGGAGAGAGGGGCAAGACAATCTTTTGGACATTTCTACATTTCATGTTTTCGGGAACTGAAACAATGACCTTGACTGCTTCCAGCAGTTGGCGCGATCCAGTTACAAGAGGCTAGTCTCCCATGTTTTTGTCCCCAAGTCATTCTATGGGCTATTCCATAGGTCCTGATAGTTTTGTTAATTTTATATTAAAAGAGAATGTTCTGCAGAGAAGATTCCATTAATTGCGCCTACCTTTGAGACGCAAAGTAAATTCACCGTGCTCACCCAAAGTCTCTATGGTGAAAGCAAATAACACACACAACATCCCTATTTAAAAAGGCAGCCTGTGAAAACTTTGCACACAATCTTAGATCACCTTTAACACCCCAGCAAATTACACATGCCTTTTTTTTAGGTTTTGCATAAGCTATTCAATACTGATTATTTGGGATCTCATTAGATCAGGGCCTACCTGAGAAAAAAAAAAAAAAAAACTGTCTTCTGACTCATAGGATCTGCTTCTTTTAAAGCTTCTTCTGATTTCACACTTACAGAGCCCCACCTTCCAAGCATACCCTTCATGGAGGAGGCGAGAGGGACAAAAACATACAAACCTGCAAAGCTTAACAGATGTGACTCTGATTTGTTCACCATCTTGTCATGTTTACTTATACGCTAATGAAGTTTACTTATAAATTGCTTAACCACATTAGAACATCTGATGAGTTTATGAGAATTGCACGTATATCTAGATCATTGTGCAATTATATAATGCATGAAAATGGCCAATAGGGTCAAATCAAACTAAAATAACTAGATTTAGGAGGTTTCTGTTGATCTAAATAATCAGTTTAAGATAATTAGAAACCAGGTTAATGTAAATAACATAATACCTGGTCAAATTATTATTGAAAATTAGGAACACTGACATATTACTTTAGATTATTTATCTTTTTCTTTTAGATTAATTTCAAGGACCAGCATAGCTAGCAGAACTGTCCACAGCAAATGCTACATAAGGCTGAAGTTAGCACCTGGTTTGTACTATCATATTCAGCAATATGTGAACAGCCCTCATGTTAACCCAAATCTACCAGTTAGAGGCCATCATGTCTACACCTGCTGTAAAGTTTATGCCTTCCCCATAATTCCAGTCAATGCAAACAGTAATTATAAGGATAAAAAAAATGGTCACTCCAGATGAACAAAGCAGAACCTAGTGTTTTGGGGGTGTTTGTTTACTACTCTTGATTTGTATTCCTTTCACTGCAGTTCACTTCTTGCAAAACAATTGCAGAGCATGCAGAAGTCAAACCAGGCCAGTAAGATTTTTTTGTGAAACTATAATGGCTTTGGGATCACAAATCAAATTCCATTTAGAGGGAACAAGCTAACAACAAACCCTGTACTTTTTAATCTGTGTAGTTTTTTCTTAATATTAAATTCTATATTTCCAATTTATTTTTTTCATTTTCTAATTGTTCAGTTATTATTTAAATAAATTATATATCTGTCTTATAACTTTAATAAACTGTGCTCTGTGGCTCTGGTATTATTTCTGTGGAACTATTGTAGCCCTTACACAAGCCCTGTGAAGGTAGGGCTTATTTAAACAGAGAATACCACAGGCACTCATGTTTTGTTTACTTCAACTAAACTTTCTGCTTCTCTAACTGTTCCACTGGGAACAAAGTGCCAACAAACTCTCATGCTACTTTTTAGACTTGTGTTCAGTACACAGGGCAGGAAAGGCACAAAATGTCATGTTGGGTGGAGGTTTTGAGGACCCAAATGCAGAGAGGAGTAGGCACGGATGAGTTTGTATGGTTTAATGAAAGTCCAAGGGAAACAGAGGTCAAAATACAAAATACAAAAATACTGAAAACCAAACATAACCAATAAACGTCAGGAAAAATACTTGAGGGATGCAAGAGACTAGGAAGCAACTAACATCTTCAACACACAAGAAACCAGCACTGAATGAAGGCTCTGGTGCTCTTTTAAGCCCAGCACTATGATTATAAAGATTACTTTCATCTGTGTAGGCTACCCAAGTTCTCCACAAAGATCCTATATAGTAGGGATGCACAACTCGCACTAACCCACACACAGGAACCCTCACACAAAAGAGGCAGTAAACCATTACTAGCATGTGATTTTGTGACAACTTCACCTTGTGATGAAAGAAAGCCAAACTGGGCTATAAGTGAGGCCTTTGTTATAAAATCTTTAATACGAAAGCGAGTTTATGTAACAGTTCAACATTTGAAGAACCTATAATCAAATAAATACTAGGCTAATGATACGTTTTATGCAGGAGTTCTCTGTCAAACTTCAAGGAATCACAAAATTAATTGGAAAAGTTTAAATCATAGTATAGTAAGTGAAAAATATTTAGAGATGTTTGAATGCTTCAGTGGAGTCAACGAAAAGTAATAGAGTCCCCAGTATTAAGGTTATGACATTTTAGGGTAGACGGCTAATGCTTATTATTGTATTCCAGGGTAATGTGGACTTACAGTATACTATAAAGTAAACTTTGAAATATACATCTCATTAGAGCAGTGCTTCGATTTTTTTGTTGGTATTTTAGTAAATACTGAAAAGATCTAAAATGTATTTTAACCATAAGATCTGATAAAACATTAAAGAGCCTTCATTTCAAAGTGTAAAGCAATGACTGCTCTAACTATCAAGCATTCAAACAGGTTCCAATTCCATGGCACCTTTCGGCAGCTCGCTTAACAATTCTCTTAACGATTCCAGGCAGCACCAGAGCCTAGCGCTGGGAAGCACGACTTGCGTCATGTTTTTTCCGCACACAGCATTCGGTAAGCAAGTACGACATGACCAGGCGTAAGTGTAGAAAAGCAAAACAAAAGCAGTCAAAGCAATCGAAACTTTGGCTTCATTTTAACGAAGAGAGATGGCAACAAGGCGCTTTGCAATCATAGTGCAAAGTGACAATTACATCCATGGGAGGAAATACATCCAACATGCATCTCTTTGGGGTTATTAAACATGCTACGAAGTTGCCCCACAGTTCAGGAAGCGAGAGAAAAGTGATGTTCATTTATTTAAATCAGGGGGAGATGAGTTTATTTCCCGATATTGTACCAATGCTTTTTCATTAAACAGATGCCTTCTCCATTAGATTTAGATGACTTTCACAAGACGGGTAGCCTGGCTGGCTCAGAGGCTGGCGGCTCCCATTCACTGCCTTCTGTGAGGCAGGCAGAAATAGAATGTCCAGGGCAAAGGTAGACGAATGTCACCGTGCACTTAACAAGTTCATCGTTTCACAGAATCAATAAAAGAATCGATAAGAGAATTGGTAAGGAATTGAATCGTTTCACAGGATCGATAAGGGAATCAGAATCGTGAAAATCTTATCAATTTCCAACCTTACTCAAACAGCTGTGAGGGATTTACATGCAACTTTAACAAACTAAGTTAAAGTTGGAACAAAATTTGAGATGTTGAATAAACTCAAACCTAAAGGACATTGTCTCCCTTTTCCAAAACATTTCACACCAAAAAATGGCATGTCAGGCCTAAGTATGATAAGCCTTTACACCTAGCTTCGACTAGCAGGTTTGCAACCTGAGTGAATAGTTTTCTGCAAAATACTTTACCTAATGTGTGTAAAGCTGCACACATTAGATTTGCATGACTGTAACCAAGTTGGTAAAGCTCACATAGAGTGGTTGGGACATTATAATGAAAGAAGGAAAGAAAGATCAAGATGATAAAGGTTCATTGTAGCCACAATTGTAGCAATAGTTTTGAGTGATACTGCAATTCCACCTTTTAGTAATTTTGTGCATTCAGTTTTTCTAAAATGTAACATTTACTTGTCAATATTTGACTTCAAATTGGTCAATATCTTTCAAATATTAAG